CCTATATTTTTATGAATGTATCAAGATTGATTGAACAGGCCTACTGTTTATTTAGTCTGAATTGGTGCCGTAGTGCCAAGGTTATGGAACATTATAACACACCTAAATCGGTAATTTTCATTTGGTTTCGTATCACGTGACATTGGTTATTTACACCATTTCGTTCGATCCGTGCAGTTTTTGTTTTACGTGGCCGCTAATGGAAAGGAACATATCACTAGGGAAAAAATCGACCTTTTTCTCATCGAATGATTACAGTTATTCACAATCGAAATTGATTAGTGAATGATTATATTTCATTGGCGTTGAACAATTTCATTGTTTACATCCTCATCACTAATCCCTTTGGGTGGAACAACGTGGATAAACAGAGAGCAGGAGTTTCAGAACTTGATATAGGCCTAGTAGTGGTAAACCAAAAGTAAAGCATTCAAAATAAGATGTTGGTAGTAAAATTTAATAGGGTGACATAAGCGTCGAAAAAATGAACAGGAAAAATGTTAGTAAAACAAGAAATATATGTACAGTATTAGAAAGACGAACATGAGCCCTCTGGAAGAAAAGCAAAATTTTACTGAAGTATCAACCAAATTTGAAAAGATAAATAAAAAGTTAAATGAGACATGCATAAAAACAAGAAAGCAGGAAATATTTACGTGCATTAAGATTGTGGGCGACTGTCAAAAACATCAGAGAACATCAAAGCAGAGATCGACTGTCAATACAAGCATACCTCACCTTACCTTACTTCAGGATCTAGCTTTCCCCTGCCGCACCTTCCATTTTCCAGTTCTTTCAAGTTGTTCTCAACCAGTTACTGATTTACTTTCTTAGATCATATCTCTGCCTTCTTTTTCTTAGCTTTTACCTACTCTTGGTTGTCTTTCGGTTGTCCTTTTGGTTAGTCAATCCGGGTCAATCTGCTCTTAAATTCTAGCAACGTGCTGCCCATATCCATTAATTTCTGGCAATTGCTTGTTCTTTCCCTAATTATTTTGCAAGGTATTTTGTTCAAAACAGGTACAATTGTATTAAAATACGAGACACGTTCGTCCAATTATGGCTTATGGTAGAGGTTTGCCTTTCAATTCAAAAAGATAACATCATCATATCTGCTTACATTTTGTCTTACGAAAAAAATTGCAACTTAATCAATTTATATAAGACAGAGAGTAACATCGCCATTATAGATCATAACTCTTGATATATTTTTCTACATTAATAAGATTAAATATTTAGATAATAAAGAAACTCGCATGCAACAGAGATACGCATCAAAACAGAGAACAGAGGAATGCCTACGTCAAAATAGGATACACTCGCGTCAACCCAGGAAGGTAAGTTTAAGTGCGTAAAAACAGATTAGTATTTTCGTGAAAATAGGATAGGCCAATCTCGTGCTTCAAAACAGTGAGGTACAGGCGTCAATATATGTATACGTGCATCAAAATAGATACGTGCATTAAATCAAGGGATACTTGCGCCAAAACAAGGGGAAATTGCGTTGAAATAGAATGTAGCCTATAGTATACGTCTATTTTTGTACTAATAATAACCTATTATCATAACAGATCATTTTGTACACGTAAATGTATATTAAGTGATACCGAATGTGCATTTAATATCCTTTAAAAAGTCCAAGCTTTCGTTAACTGGCTGTCCATCCTTTCTTCTTATTACAGCTAGCGAGTTGGCTATGTAACATTAGGCCTGGCTTCAATTTATATCTTTCCCATCTCTTTATTATATTAGTCCGCTCAAATTCCTTAGCAAAGGACGCTCGGTTCCTAATTTAAAATGCATATTAATAACCCATAGGCAACGGAACTAGAGTGAAGTGACGTCAGTTGCATAAATAGATCATAGCGCATGAGAGTGGGAAAAGACGGGATAGACAAAATAGTTGGTTGTTACGATACGCATGGTAAAACATAGGGAAAGTCGACATGTTGTACAGAATGTGTGTGCGGAACATTTGATTTTGAGTTCATTTCTTGGATGGGAAGATTGAGTTTCATGAAGATGGTCGTTACACAACCATCTTCATTTTGTTTGTATAATTTTGGACACGGCCACAGATTGGGGAAAGTTAGCCATGCTTGTTGACAGTAGACCATTTATTGTCACACTTTAAAATTAGGCGTACATTTGGTGGCAGCAACAGGGGTGGCCATCCCCCACCCCCGTCGGGGAGAGTTCCCCACCCCCGCCAAACCACAACACAATTCCTCGAAAAAAACAAAAATGTATTTTCTACTTATTAATAGACTCTAAAATCGATTATATAAGCCTTCAACTCTATTTAATGGATAGAATTTTTGTGTGTGCTGCCTGTCTCTTATACACATCTAGATGTGTATAAGAGACAGATTATTAATAAGGTAGGTGTAAAATATTTATAGTAGAGCATTATAGCTAGCCGTCAGCACGAATTAAAAAAAAACTTAACATCGAGCATATAATATAGTAAACCTATTTATTCGAATAAACGCCTCGCTTTGAATAAACGCCGCTCGAATCAGTTCGAATAAACCCCCCCCCCCGGGCCATTTATTTTTTCCTCGAATAAACGCCCCTCTAAATGACTTTAAACAAAACTTGTACGCAACATCACTCTCAACACCTGTCTCTTATACACATCTAGATGTGTATAAGAGACAGCAAGACAAAATATTCGTTTCCTGAATATTTTCTTGCGTGCTCTACTTTAAAACTCAGCATTTTCGCATGGATACCACTTGTGTTCATTATTTGAATCAATATACGGACAACTATACTCAATATAACTCCTGTCTCTTATACACATCCCCCCGTCGGGCAAATCCATGTGTTGAGAGAACGAGCACACGGACAGGCTACAATAGGAAGACATGTAAACACTTTTCAAATCCGGAATGAGTAAGAACATGAACCGAAAGGTCCACTGATTAATCTCACATAAGATAGTATAATACATACTCCAAGTATCGAAATGCACGCCATCGTGTTGGAATTCAATATTTCGACATTAAATATGTCATCATCAGGAATGATGATGACATAATAATGTCGATGATGACAATTAATGTCGAAACATTGAATCCTTGGAGTATGTATTATACTATCTTATCTGAGTAAGAACATCTCACTTTAAAATACCACTGTTTGTAACATGTAAGGTAGGCCCTACGCTTAATTCTTCATTATTTTGATTTGAGCAAATAAGAGCGTAGGCAGCTTTTATAAATGGACAGCGTAACATAGTATCATGAATCACAATCATCAATCTCAATGAACTCGTCCATCAAATTGACGTCACAACAAATTCTATTAATTTTTTTTTTGGCCTGATAATAATAACTACAAACCAGGAGCGGATCCAGTAGGGGAACGGGGGGCACGTCCCCCCGTTTTGGTCTCTTATACACATCTAGCCCCCCCCCCGCGTTCCTAATTTTTTTTAAATATCTTCTCACATTCTCGCTAGAGGGCGTTCCACGAACATTGCGTTGCGTGTAGAACTTCACTGTTCCATTTCCATTAGTTTGCAATTACGTTCGTACTTTGCAGTTGCATCCGAGCTTGTTTATTTTAAGCACAGGTATTAACGAATTAATCTACACGTAATTATGCTTGACGTTCATTAGCCCAATTAGGAAGTCGAACATTTCCAAAATCAACAGTGATACAATAATTTAATTCATTAATTTATAATAACTATCATATGATCCCATAAAAATAGAAATATACTTTACAATGGCATCATTAGTTCTGAAGGTCTAAATGAAATGATAAAAAATGTGTAAATTACGTAACACGTCCGCCCAGACGATGTTTACGAACCATAACAGACGTGCGAGGGTGTCGTTGATTCACTTCTTCAATTATAACATAGGCCTACGCCTTATTATTTCAATCGATATTTGGACCATTAATATTTATATCTTAATTACTAGACCTATGCAATTATACGAAAGGTTAACGCGAATTAAAGTGATGTTTCTCAAAGGTAATTGAAGAAGAGATGCAATCATTTTAATCAAAAAAATATTAACACAATTTCCGCTTTATGCACAACTAGATGAGAATTGCCTGACAATAATTAGCTGAATAGGTTTCAATTAAAAACGTATCAATTATAATTTATCACTATAACAATATTAATGGTGATGATGACGATTTGACTTGAATTTTGATTTTGTTACGGAATCAATAATAATAATAAGAAAATAATAATAATAAAATAATAATATAATAATAACATAATATAATAATAATGATAATGATGATAATAATAATAGTAGTAGTAATAATAATAATAAAATAATATAATAATAATAATAATAATAATAATAATAATAATAATAATAATAATAATAATAATAATAATAATAATAAAATCTTAGGAATAGTTCATGATGGCTGTGGCAGAGGTTGACCCTTTCAGTACTGCTATTGAGTTCCCACATTTTAAGCCTTCATGTCCATATATCTTGGACCATGGAATAAAAATTTTTTTTTTATCGGTTTACTATAGAGAGGTCTGGTTTATTCATGTGAGTGAAAGCTGTTTTTGTTTGTTGTATTTCATCATATTATTATGATCAGATACAGTTCAGTAAACACTGGATTTACACTGTCATGACCAAATAACTTGTGCCGATTAAAAACGGAATGTCTACACTGTTCCATTACCAAAATAATTATGCTACAAGAATCAGCTGATTTGATTCAAAACATAAAGCGCAATCTAACATTTTTAACTTTTACTTTAAAGACCATAATTTCTTTTAAAATGCAAAATTTCTTCACTTGATATGCTCACAAGTTATTATTCTCTTTTGATTTTTAATTTTCATCTTGTTAATTTTTGATATAATATGCATCACCGAGACAAAAATGCTTGAATTGTGTGAACTTTTCTGCATCAACTTATCAATAGATCTGTTCTTGATTGGTCAGATCACGTCCAATAGTAACGCAGTGCTTGTAGATCCAGTGTTGCCGTGCGCATGACGAGTTATAAAAATGTACACACACGGTACAATTTAGAAGTCTTTATTATAGAAGATCGTATTCTGTGTAGTGAATATCATAACTATCTACTGACGATACGATACGCGTAAGTAACCGAATTGAGCATCGGCTTAGAAAATAACCCCACATCGTAACAAATAGGTATGTAGTGTTTTGATCTTGTCATTAAGTCGATAAAGTTGTTTGCCTCCGTCCAAAACTATATTCTTTTATTAGTTATGTGGTATTTGATGGATTTTAATAATTTGAAAGTGTGCCAAGAGGGGTTAAAGCACTATAAAAGCATGAGGCATAGTAGTGAGATTTGGGCATCCAATCGAAAGAGGGGTTTAACCTAAATCTGTGCACTTGTTTGCTTCGTTCTTGGGCAAAGAGTTGTTTCGGTCCGTGAAGGAGAAGGCCGTGATAGGTAGCTGATATCTTAGAATGCCAATGCGATGGTTGTAGTTGCAATAAATGTTATCCATGTAAAATATGTTTGTAAATAAATAAATAAAATAAAATAATGCAATATTTCCCCATGGAGCTCAATTGTATGTTACATGGGTGAACGTTTGTTCTAAAAATCTGGGTAATAATAATGGTGAAGCGCATAGAGGGATCTCAAGTATGCAATTGTATTGACCGAAATATTTCGGAAGTCTAATGTTATGAAAGTGGCAGCCTAAACACAGCTACTGGTGTTTGATCTGTTAACTCAACACAAATCGTTTCACAAGTCATTAGGAAGAACCGCTATCAATGATTATCATAATGTCGTTAGTTATGATTACACATCCAAAATATCATACATTTGAATAGCCCTATGTCTTTTAAATACAGCACATAGTTTGCAACGAGACTTCGGGATAGAATAGACGTAACTTACCTAAATAGAATAAAAATGGAGGTCACAATTATACAACATATTAATAACGTATTAAACTACATTTAAGAATTTTATTTTATCAAAGGGATACTAATTTTGATTATGGATATGTCATTTATATATGAGACGTCTTTTGGGTGACAGCAATTGCAAAGGAGATAAACAAGATAAAAGAAATCTTTTTAACCTCCTATTGCCATGTGTATTTGCCTGATGAAGTTTTGAGGACAAGACAAAATATTCGTTTCCTGAATATTTTCTTGCGTGCTCTACTTTAAAACTCAGCATTTTCGCATGGATACCACTTGTGTTCATTATTTGAATCAATATACGGACAACTATACTCAATATAACTCCAGACACAACATCAACACCTTGTGAGACGCATCACCTTGTGGAATGAAAGGCTTGATTACAACTAGCAATGGAAATAAATGAATACTTTCCCGCTGGAGCCGATAACAACTGGGCCACGTTTTTAAACTTAGAATGGTGATGGGCCTCTTCAAATTCACATTAGGGAATAGGGAATATTCTACCAAACCAATCATCTGCGACTGCAAGACAGATTACTGCAGAAGGTTGCCATTTACAGCGCCTGCATCATTGCAGATCTCACACCCGATACAGGCGAACAACTCCAGCAGTTATGGCTGTGCCAAATATAAAATTCAGTACATGGGAGTCCCACAAGAAGAAAAAATATAGGCCTATATACATATATATAGATCCTCATATCACCGACTATTTGTTTTCAATGTTTATTTTTTTTCGTTTCATCTAGTTAACTAATGTTGACGTAAAGAACAAAACAATCACTGTGGCTACGTAAAATCTCAATTTATCTCAATTGATATTCCAATGCAATCCAATCCAATCTTCGACTTATAAGGCGCATTATACATATGCATTATACATTATCTTATATTAAATAGGAACACAAACGTAATCGAAATTAATGGATCATAACGTATTATAAAGTTTAGACAAAGTAACTTTTCTATGCCCTTTCAACATAAATAAAAAAATAATATTAATTATCATAATCATCTACATGGGAACTGAAAATGTTCCATAGGTATTTGCCAATGTAATGTGTAGAGGCAGTTTGATGCAGTATGGTACAGTATGCATGTTATATACTTAAATGTGTACCGTATATTGTAGTGCATGCGCATTATTATTATCATTATTATTCGAATAGTTCCATCTGGTTTGCTTATAATGACGAAAAGCTCGCAGTAAGTTTACATCAAATTGTGCTTGGTTTATTATTGATTAAACAGTTCTACAATCATTATTATTATTATTGTTATTATTATTTATTATTATTATCATCATCATCATCGTTATAATCATCATCGCATTATCCGTGTTTTATATATACATATCTTGGAGCATGATGATAACAAGCTTATTAATTCAAATTAACTAGAAGGTACAGTGCAATGCGATCGGTGTGCTGACGATTATTTTCGATACAATATCCGAGGATTAAATTTACTGCAACTCAATCACATGTGTATTAACGAACAGCAAAAGAGCCGATGAGAATCTTCAAAAAAGAAGCACGTAATTGAAAAACGGACTTTCTCATTTGAAAGTAATACTGTATTTATTTGTAGAAAATCCCATTTCTCAGAAACACAATTATTAATAAGGTAGGTGTAAAATATTTATAGTAGAGCATTATAGCTAGCCGTCAGCACGAATTAAAAAAAATCTTAACATCGAGCATATATATAGTATAGTATTTATTCGAATAAACGCCTCGCTTTGAATAAACGCCGCTCGAATCAGTTCGAATAAACCCCCCGGGCCATTTATTTTTTCCTCGAATAAACGCCCCTCTAAATGACTTTAAACAAAACTTGTACGCAACATCACTCTCAACACATTCTTTAATGGTCTACTCCAGTAGACACATTTTTTTTCTAACCTGTTTGGGATCAATAAGTCTTTACGATCACTTTATGTAATTATGTATTGTAGTTCCACAATTAAGTAAGAGGCATATAAGTATTTGAGTGTATACGTATCCATTTTACAAAAAAAAAAAAAAAAAAAAAAAAATTAATTCTAGAAATTTCTTTTTCAAATAAATACACTGCATTATTACACTATTATTATTAAACGAAGAACACACATTTAGAATTTTGAGACACCAACAACCTTGAAGTTATATATCGATGCATTTAATATCAATGAGATATGGCAGCTTTATTTAAAACTTATTGTGATCAAGCCCGTAGCCAGTTTCTTCCAGTGGGAGTGTCTTGGGCTGGGGTCCAGCAGTAATAGTTGTAGTGAAGTAATACTAGGCCTTTGGGCTTCAATCTCAAATAACACCACATGTTTGATTAATTCTAGAAATTTCTTTTTAAAATGATCACACTGCACTATTACACATAAACGAATAACACACATTTAGAATTTTGAGACACCAACAACCTTGAAGCTATTATATATCGATGCATTTAATATCAATGAGATATGGCAGCTTTATTTAAAACTTACCACACGTTAAATTAATTCTATGTTGGAAATTTCTTTTTTAAGTGAATATACAATACACAGCAGAGAGTAAAAGCATAGACATTTTATACGAGCAATAAACTTGAAGTTATAATCTATAATCTATTATCATTTTCACCGCGCTATCTCTAGCGGATTTATATCGCCGAGTGTCAATTTATGTTTGTGGGTGCATTTAATATCAATAACAACTGGCAGCTACATTTGAAAACAAATAACAAGTTAAATTAATTCTATTTTACAAATTTCGTTTTTTTTTAAGACTATACAATACACAAAGGCGATTTTAGAATTTTTTGAAACGAGAAATTACCTAACGTAACGTATATTGATGTATTTAATATCAACGACAATTTGCTGCTACTTAGATCGTAACAGAATCGCCTGTCAACCCATGCATATGTTGTATATAGGCCAATTTATCTCGATTTCACCTTAAAATCTTGACACACTATATCGGCGTGCAAATTGAATGCGAATATTACTACTGCGTAGAAATAAAAATAAAGTTGTTTATGTCTAACTTCACGCATAATAGACCTTTCCGAAGTGTCTATGATATAACCTGCTTACACTTCTAATTGAATTAACGTGAAACTCTATTTAATGGATAGAATTTTTGTGTGTGCTGCTAGGCCTAATGAAACCACTGATGAACCACAACTTGTTACCTAGGAATACGCAATGTCCCACATACGCAAGTTCGCGTACATTTACGCTGTTTAAGGTCCCACACCTTGGCAACATCACAACTCATATAAAACTGAATCCTAATGTATGCACGACCCTTCCTTTATGTCTGTGAACCCTTGAACAGTACAAGTTTATTTATAGTCACATTGCGAAAAAATAAATAATTGTACAGGACCCTATATAAGTTATGTATGTATTGATGGGTGGATATATGTGACTGTTCGTTCATTTGTTATAATGATGTGTGGGCTTGTGTGTGGGTAAATGGATACAGGCAAATTTTGTTTATGATTTATATTTCAATAAGTCTCAGAGACGTATCGATACTCTGTCGGCAGTTTCAACCATACAGTAGCAAGGAGTATACTACAATCAATCTAATACCGAACTTCGCGTAACAGGTTGATGTACCGGTATCAATTATTATATACATCATTAATATTAGCACTCTGGAGCATATGTCTTAAAAATTACTCTTAAAAAATGGAACTTCGTGATTTAAAAATATGAGGCCTATCATTTTCGTGCGTTAACAGAAAACATGTGTTGAGTTGCGAGATTACTTACACAGAAGCTCAGAGCTCGAGTTCCTAGCGATGGTGTATCTTAACGTCTAAGAGGCATAGGGTAGCAGTAGATGACATCTACTATGGCGTCAAATGGATATTACGATTTCGTTTGCAGGATTGTATGATACTAAATTGATACACGGCGAAGAGTTCAAATGCAAAATGAAATACAACAACTTGCACATTTTAATGATTACCACATAATTCAGTTTAAAATACTTCGAATTAGGTTTGCTGCGTAGCACTGTAAACATAATATAAACAAATAGATAGATAATAAAAGCAATAATGCTCGAATAGGAAAATGTGATGTCATAATCGTATCAAGCATAGTACTTCAACGAAAAGTTCTGTTATCAGTACGAAAAAAGTGTATCTTGCAAGATTCGAACGTGCAAGGTGAGTTTTATACCATTAGACCATAAAAGGCCTATGCGGTATAGACACATAATTGTATGTGTAATGTGTATATCATC